CTGAACTTTCATCTGCATCCAAAGATTCTGTTTCTATTGTGGAGACCAGTTAGTAACTTTTTATTTGGGTTTTTGGGCTGGAGCGATAGCACAGCGAGTAGGGCATTTGCCTTACACGCGGCCAACATGGCCGACCCGAGTTCGATTCCTCTGCCCCTCTCGGAGAGCCCGGCAAGCTACCGAGAGTATTCGATATGCCAGACACAGTAACAACAAAGTCTCCAATGGAGACGTTACTGGGCCCGCTCGAGCAAATCGACGATCAACGGGAGGGCCTTTACCTTTACCTTTTACCTTTTTGGGGTCACACCTGGTGATGCTCAGGGGTTACTTCTGGCTCTGCACTCTGGAATTACTCCTGGTGGTGTTCAGGGGACCATATAGGATACCGGGGATTGAACCTGAGTCATTCGCATGTAAGGTAGGCACCTTCCCCCACTGGACTATCACTCCAACTCCTAGTTAGTTACTTTAATTCCCCACTATGTCCCTTGTAGATCTCTCTCATAGGGATCAAAAACTTGACCCCAACTCAATTTTTGTCATTTTTCTCTTTTTCCTACTGAACGACCATTTAGGAAAACCCAGTCCCACTATTTTAGGGTAAAAAGTTATGAAAAAAGACATGGTTTCATCTAGGATTTGAGATTTCTTTTCTGGAGAGAGTCTTGCACATTTCACACTGCATGGGTCAACACACTCTGCCTTGGAAATCCCAGGCAGAAGGATCCAGCCAACCATATGATCAGTCCTTCACGCTGCTGTTTCTTCCCAATTCATTTAGAGCTCCTTGAGCGGCACTATTTCTAAATGTTACATGGCAAGGGGCGTTGTTCTTTCATTATTATTGGGAGACTCCATGTCCTTCTTCCTCTCCCGCCCTAGTCCCTAAACCCCCAGAGAAAGAAATGATTAGGAGGCAGACATTTCAGGCTATACGTATGACCGAAAGGAAGCAAAAAAAAAAAAAACCAGGGGGCTGGAGTGATAGTACAGCGGGTAGGGTGTTTGCTTTGCACACGGCCGACCCGGGTTCGATTCCCAGCATCCCATATGGTCCCCTGAGCTCCGCCAGGAGTAACTCCTGAGGGCAGAGCCAGGAGTAACCCCTGAGCATCGCTGGGTGTGACCCAAAAAACAAAAAAACAAAAAAAAAACACCAAACAGACCCAGGAAGTATGTCAAGGCCTTTCAGAAAAGTCTGGTTGGAGACTGCAGATGTCCCCCTGCCATCAGGGGCTATGCTGCCAGCTCCATCCGCCACGCGTGGCAACGCTCCCGGCATTTGTACTTCTGCTGTGGCCTAACAAATCGTCTGGCTTGTGTCAACTCTCAACAGTACTGCTTGAGCTTAAACAGAGCCCCTGCAGGCACGGATTTCTAGCACGCTGCCAATAAATGACAATAATAGGACAGCGAAGCCCTGATTCTGAACCAAGGCTTCCCATGTTCTCAACACACACACACACACACACACACACATAAACACACACTGATGGAAGTGTGCTTTGGGGGTGCCGTGGTAGAAGTTCACCTTGAAGGACTCAGGAAAACTTTCTTAGCCAGCCTTTTCTTATTGTATATGGGATGGGAGAAATGTTACCTTCTATGCAGCTATGGCATAGTGAATGCCAGAAAAGTTGGGGTGGGGGGGTGTGCCACCTGCCGGGTCCTGTCAAAACCATTGGAATCCCTCTCTAATGTCTGATTTTGCAGGGAAAACAAACATCCATGTAAGCATTCATCTAAAGTGAGTCATGCTGACCACAGTTTGCTTTGCAACAGTTGCTGGACAGAGTTTCAGATGATGAATAACTCCAACCAACACCCCTAAGCTTGGATCATTGAAAACTATTTGGGGATGGAAAAGCATCGAATTGGAAAGAGCCTCCTTGGAGAGCCCAGAGGGGAGCATCAGCTCAGAACAGAATGGAAAATGCTTCGGTCTTTTTTTTTTTCTTTTTGGTGCCGTTAACAAAGATAAGAACAGCCTGGGGCCTGCTGCTGCTTAGGGCCTGGAAGCTTCCTCTTTGTCCTCTTCAATTTAGAAGCCCCCTACAGAGTCCTAAGTACTTATTTCTGTGACCCAAGTACCCACTAGGGTACTTCAGGGCTTTCCCACTAGTAACACACATTGAATCTGATGGAGCCTCATACTTCCCGTGAAGCTGTTACCTCAGACTGTGGTTCCTCTTCCTTCTCACTGCCTTCTTATCTAGCCCCCCCCCCCCCCACTGTGTTTCTGCAGCAGGGACCAAGTTACCCCTCACCATTGTGTAGTAGACCAAAGAGAGCATATTACCTTTTTTGTCAGCAGAGTAGGGCCAACGGGCCTTGTTTTTCCAAACTAGAAGGTTGTTTTCATGATCAAAAAATAAGTCGTTGCAGAAAACTCAAGCTATCTGAAAAGTGGAAACAAGATAATAAAATGTACCTTCAGTATTTCCTGTTGGGGAGGGTACTGTCCACAGTTTGCTGCGTCCCTCCGGCTACCCCCCCCCCCATGCATGTCCGACCCTGACTGATAAAATTTTATTTAAACAAACCCATTTTAATGACTCATTGTATCAGATGCTTTAAAAAAAAACTACAGGATTAAAAACACATCGCCTTTCATGATGTCTAAGACACTGTTTTGATAGTTCATCCTAAAACAAGAGGAATTTGGTCTGCTTTTTTTTTTCTTTTTGGGTCACACCCGGCAATGCTCAGGGGTTACTCCTGGCTTATGCACTCAGGAATCACTCCTGGCAGTGCACAGGGGACCATATGGGATGCTGGGAATCGAACCCGGGTTGGCCACGTGCAAGGCAAACGCCCTACCCGCTGTACAATCGCTCCAGCCCCTTGGTCTACTTTTTATACTATAGGGTGAAGTGAAATCACAAACTGCAAAAACAGCCTGAGCTAGACATATATAATGGGTTCTTGTTAGGAGGAGGAAATAGTTTAATTTGTGAAAATGGAAGTATCAAATTATGCCTGTTGAGAACTTCAGAAGCATTTTCTCTTTGCTAACCTCTGGGGTATATGGTTATTTTCTTTCTTGTGTAACATTATGCCGCCACTGTTCTTTTTTTGTGGTATTAGAGATTTGCAATTTGTGGTAAAAATAATTATTCACTCTCAGTACTGATTTAAATTGTCGTGTTTGGGTGAATAGGTCTTTGAGCAAAAAATGGGATCTAGCTTACATAATTACAAGAGATGCCGAGATGCTACATTGCATTTGTGTGTGTGTGCCCGCATAATAATGTGTAAATAGAATGCTGAAATGAAAAAATTCCAAACTTACAATGGATAAATCCTTTAACCCTGGAAGAGGACATTAGGACAGATGGAGCAGAAAAACTTTGCTGGATAGCATGGATGTTAGGAAGCCTGAGGCAGGAAGCAGGGCCTGCCTCACAACCGTGCAAGGCTTTTGCAAACACCTTGTCGAACTGTTTAGGCTGATTGAAATTTCTCATAGGACTTGCAGATGAGTTTTATAGATGCGTGTACAATGTGGCCTGGGTTAGGTCCCTGGAACCAAAGCCAACCAGAAAAGGCTGGACTTTGAGGCATCTTGTTCTCTTAAGTGGGACTTGGATTGCGCAGGGGTCGGGGAAGATGGTGTTACCCACGCAGAAGGTCTCCCACAGCTGACTGCTGACCTCCCAGGGCCTCTGGCTAGACAGGCAGTGTTCAGCAGAACCTGTGGAGAGATGGGGACTGCCATAGTCTGCATGTTCCTTCATGTCACTGGTAGCCACACGGACCTGTGAGTGCGTAGGAAGTGGCTAGTAGACCTTAGGAGCTGGGTGGGGGGAGTTTTTGAATTTTCTTTCATTTGAACTTCGCTGCACGTGGCTACTGGCTATGGGACTGCACAGAATTTCATGCCACTTTTTCCTTTTTCTTTTTGGGTCACACCCCGCGATGCACAGGGGTCACTCCTGGCTCTGCACTCAGGAATTACCCCTGGCGGTGCTCAGGAGACTGTATGGGATGCTGGGAGTCGAACCCGGGTCTGCCGCGTGCAAGGCAAACGCCCTACCTACTGTGCCCTAACTCTAGCCCCATCCACTTTTTAAAAAAATTTTGCTTTTTCGATCACACCCAGCAGTGCTCAGGGGTTACTCCTGGCTCATGCACTCAGGAATTACTCCTGGCGGTGCTCAGGGGACCATATGGGAGGCTGGGAATTGAACCCAGTTCAGCTGCATGCAAGGCAAGCTCCCTACCCATGTGCTATCGCTCCAGCGTCCCTCATGCCACTTTTGGACGTGTTTTGGATATGCCTCTGGAAATGTTGACTTCTGTTTCTCTGACTTTATTTGATGGCATTTCCCAAGCATGAATGTAGTACCGAGCGAGTGTGTATGTGCCTGGCATCAGAAAGACGTTTCTTTGCGATTTCCCACACCAGCTTTGAATGGGAGGCGTAGAGATGTGGGATCTGTAATCCCACACAGCCAGGAGACCAGGATATTGGGGTCCCTGCTGTTTGAAGTGAAGCTGCTTCTCTTTTGCCCTGAACAGCAGCCTCTGCCATTCTGGGCTGTGGTTGGCTGGCTGAGTGGAGGAGAGGGCACCTCTTGGCAGCCCGGGGGCTCGGGCACTCTCTGCAGCTGCCCAGAGCAAGGGGCTCCTATTGGAATCTCTCAGAGGCATTGTGTGGGTTTCTGCAGCCTCTCAGCGAGCCATACTCTCAGCCTGTTCTGTCATCAGACTTGCTCCTGACACAGATGTCAACAGATTTGCTGTGGGGAAAAAAAAAATAAACCAGGACAGAGAGCTTGTTCAGGGTTTAAGATACTCGGTTTGCATCCATATGACCTGGGTTCAATTCCCAAAACAAACTACAGGGGTCACTCCCAAACAGAGCCAGGAGCACCCCTCAGGGACACCCCTCAGGTGGGGCGGCCCGAACCCCCACCCCCATACGCAATGGAAAAAGCAAACAGTTCTCCACAGCTGCCCAATTCCTCCTTTCTCTTCTGTTTGCTTTCGTGCAGGTCTCTTACCTCTTGGAGGGGGGCAGTATGGCCCATGAAGACTTCTGTGGACACTTTGGTCAGATGGACCCAGGCGACCTGCAGGTATGGACAGAGACAAAGGATTGCCATGCCGGGGTTGGTCATCCTCGGGGGCAGTAAGCTTGGGCATGCGCACTTCCGGATTATCCACACTTTCTTCCCCTCCTACCCCTTAGTCTCTCTCCCTTCTGAGAATGTTTCCACTCAGCTGGCCTCTTGGATTTCTCCCCTCTACTTTCGTTCCTCCCCAACACCCTCACCCTAACCCTAGTTCTATCCCGGGATGTTTTCTTCATACTTCTCAAAGGAGACGGTCTCATCTTCCCGATCTTCCATTCCATCCCTCACTCAGAAATCAGGGCTGTCCTCGCCGTATCTCCCCCTCTGCCTTTACATAAGCCACGCAGCTCATGGGCGTACCGGATGCCCCTAGTGCTAAATTTAATGTGCCAGTTGCAGGTACCCACTTTGTAGAACTCTGCTACAGTTGAGGCCCCTTACTCTACTCTTCACTTAAGACAGTGATTATTCAGCCAGCCCTTTCACCATCCAAATCTCATCAGAAACAGGTTGCAGTGAAAACCCTGGGAAATATTGGGGGTCATCGTTGCCTTTGGGGCTTTGTAAGTCTGCTCTGCATCGGATCTTGTCAGGGGTCATTTCTTTTTTTTTATGCTTTCTTTTTTTTTTTTTTTTGCTTTTTGGGTCATAGCCAGTGATGCACAGGGGTTACTCCCGGTTCCTATACTCAGGAATCACTTCTGACGGTGCTCGGGGAACCATATGGGATGCTGGGAATCGAACCTGGGTCTGCCGTGTGCAAGGCAAATGCCCTACCCGTTGTGCTATTGCTCCAGCCCCAGGGGTCATTTCTTATTAGAGGAAAGATTGTGTCATTACAGTGTCTCTGTGCGCATGACAATCAAAGGCATGAGGAAAAAAAGGGCCAAGCATTGTGGCCAGCTTCTCCCCCATCCCTCCCCCCATTCCTGAGCGCTGCTGCTCCCCCAACTGTGCTCCCTACACAAAAAAACGGTGGAGGGAGCCCTGCTAACAGCTTGCTGATGTGGGGGAGCCAAGTGTGGCCCCTTCGTCTCCACTTGGGACACAGGGCCAGCACCAACTCCGGAGCTACCGGGAGGGTTGGTGGTGAGGTCCCACCCTCACCAGCTCGCTGCTCTGCTCCCACAGTGGATGACAGCGGGCCGGGGCATCCTGCATGCCGAGATGCCTTGCTCCGAGGAGCCCGCCCACGGCCTGCAGCTGTGGGTGAATCTCCGCAGTTCCGAGAAGATGGTGGAGCCGCAATACCAGGAGCTGAAAAGTTCCGAAATCCCCAAACCCAGTCAGAATGGAGTGACCGTCGCTGTCATTTCCGGAGAAGCCCTGGGCGTGCAGGTAAACTGGGTGCCGCTGGGTGCTGGGGCAAGCCCTGAGCTGTCTCACTGAGGGACTGGTTGCGGGCGTGGCAGGAACTGAAGGGAACCCAGAAGTTTCCTACATGCACTCCAAGAGGTGTGGGAGAAGGGTAAGGATGTCAGCTCGTGAGAGAAATTGGTCCAAAAGCACTTAGCAGGCCCCTGGCAGATGGCTTGAGAGACCTGATCGCACATTTTACACGGATATAGCCCGGTGTCCATCTCTGCCACCATGTGTCCCCACACCCTGCCCAGGAGAGCTCTCAGAAGGCTGCAGCCTATGTGCTCTGACTTCCAGCATCGTTTGGCTACTAATCGCATTGCAGTGTCTCCACCTTTTTAAAAAAAGATCTCATTGATTGATGGTTGGTTTTCAGTATTGTGGAATTTCCCAGGTTTAACCTCCCACTTTGCTAAGGGTATAATTGCCACCATTCCCACCACCACAGTTCCACAGCCATCCCATCCCCCCCAAAGATGCCTCTACCCAAACATCGCCTACCACCACCACCCCACATCCCATTCCCTCTGGTAACCACCAGTTTTCCCTGGTTTGTTGCTTCTCTCCATTTACTTTGTTTTTCTTTTTTTTGCTTTTGCTTTTTGGGTCACACCCAGCAATGCTCAGGAGCTACTCCTGGCTCTGCACTCAGGAATTACTCCTAGCGGTGCTCGGGGGACCATATGGGTTGCCAGGTATTGAACCCGAGTTGTCCTTATGCAAGGCAATTGCCCTCCCCCCTATATTATCACTCCAACCCCTTACTTTGCTTTAGTTTTTCATCTTCCACCAGGAGTGGAACTGCACTGGGTTTGGCTTATTCCACTAAGGTCACCACTTCACTCTCCACCTGCATTCTCCCTACGGCACAGTTATCTTTCTAAACCCCATAGCAGAGACCAGAAATACAGCACAAGTGAGAACTCACCTTGCCTGTGACTGACCCCAGCTCAATCCCCAGGACCACATTTGTTCCCCGCAACACTGCCAGGAATCACTCCTGTACACAGAGCCAGGAATAGCCCATGAGACTATGGGTGAGATGCAGAAATAAAATAAGCAAATAGGGACCAGAGTGATAGCACAGCAAGTCAGGTGCTTGCTTTGCATACAGCTGACATAGGTTCAGTCTCCGGCACCCCAGAGGGTACCCCTTGAGCCTGCTAGGAGTGATTCTTGAGTGCGGAGCCGGGAGTAAGCCCTGAGCACAACCGACTGTGACCCAGATACCAAAAATTAAATAAGTTAAATAAATCAAGAGCAGTATAGTATTCCATTTAGTGTATGAACCACAACTTCTGTATCCAGTCAAGAAACAAACCAGGGCTTGGAGTGATAGTACAGTCGGTTAGGCACTCACCTTGTACACGCCTGACCCGGGTTCGATCCCTGGCACCTCAAATGGGCCCCTAGATCACACCAGGAGTGATACCTGAGCACAGAGCTGGGAGTCAGTCCTGAGCACCACTGGGTGTGGTCCCGAATCCAAAATAAACCAAAAACACATTTGCTGGGACATGTATTTAACCCTTGTATAGCATGCCCTGTATTTCCTTCTCAACTGAGCCTCTCTCACATTTAGATTTAGGGTGCCACATTTTTAATCCAGCAAGATCGGTATGAGCTAGAGCTTTTGGACAGGTTTGTTGTTGGAACAGGGCACAAAAAGTACTGTGTCAGTTGCAGTCCAGAACTGTTGAGGAAGAGGCATACTTCTTCAGCTCAACCCGTCTGAGGTCCTGGTGAGTGGGGCAGGAGTTGCTGTGAGGGGTGGATGAGGATTCCTGTACAAGTGATCTCCAAGGAAGCGTTCCTAGGGGAATAGGGAAGGGAAGGAGGTTGTGGGAGGGAGGCAGTCTTGGGTAAAGGCCCCTGTCCCACTCTGGGTAAGAAAAAGGAACTAATGTGTCTATCCCATGGCCACAGATTATGGCCATTGAGTCTGGGAAGAGAGACCCAGATATGGTTAAAAGATACCAGAAGGGGCTGGAGTGATAGTACAGCAGGTAAGGTATTTGCCTTACACATGGCTGACCCAGGTTTGATTCCCAGCATCCCCTATGGTCCCCTGAGCACCACTAGGAGTAATTCCTGAGTGCAGAGCCAGAAGTAACCCCTGTGAATCGCCAGGTGTGACCCAAAATGAAAAAAGGGGGGATCAGAGGGAATCTGGGGGCCCTGACAATGCTTCCCACCAGGAGTTGATTCCACTCAAACCACTTGGCCATTCTCCCCATGGACAGCCTTATCCAAAGGCTCTAATTAATGTAAATTTAATTTCTGTTTATCAACAGCCAGGGAGATAAACAGAATGGAGATAAATAATGACTGGACAAGAGCTAGTAGAGGCTATACAAAGGGATGCTTTTCATGCTTCTGGTTAGTTCCAATTGTTGGTCGGGAGTTGTGGGTTTTAGAGACCATGATAAACCCAACAGCTATACCAGATCTGTACCGTGTCTTGGTGACAACATTATTTGCCCTTGGGTTTCTGGTGCGAACTTACCCTGAAGGACTAGGTGCCTTGCATAGGCTGGCGGGCCTGGGCTTCCTCTGCAGTTGCAGAAGGAGCCTTGGTTGTGATTCTGGGAGTCTTGTGAGGCCTCTTGCTCAGTCCATCCCTGAGTGTGCAAGTGGATATGAGGGTCTCAGGCCAGGGGCAGTCATTTATCAACATGTCTCCCTTCATATCCGGTGCCTTTCACTCTGTGTTTCCATGACTCTAGGGACAGGCTTTCAGGGATACTGAGGAAGTTGCAAGATTTCTTCTTCTCCAAGTCAGGCAGAGCACAAAGCTTTTCCCCAGTTGTTTTAGCATTTGTTTGGCGTTGCCTTATGATCTCATTTACCAGAATGAGTTGAGCTGTCTGCAGCTACACAGGGCAGTTGGAGTCCTGGTTGGTTAGAGAAGCAAAACCAGCACTGCTGAATCTTAAACGTTTACAACTGCTTCTCATGTCTAGGAAATACCGTACAGTTGTGATGTTGAGGCTGGTTCTAATTACAGGCAGGAGGACTTTGGCAAAGTACCCCCAAGCTGCAGACTGAGTGGTCTTGCAGTGGCAACCATGAATTAGAGACTAGAGGTAATGTTTTCACATGGTAAAATAATGTTCTGGCAAATGCAGGCGTCCCTCTTGTTCTTGTCAGAAGTCTCTGAGCTGAATTACATTCTCCTAAGTAGAAGATTCCATCTGTTACATGAAAGTATTTTAATGAGGCAAGGACTCTTGGAACCCTGGACAACAGTAGATGTAGGTTTTGAGAAGCAGTGTGGTGCTGTGGTTATCAGATAGATAGCAGGATTCAAATTCCTGCCATGAATTTGCTGTGTGACCTTGGGTGATCAGCTTAACCTCTCTGTGCTTGAGTATTCTCATCCATAGAATAGGTTTGCTGGAGCCAGGGCGAGAGTAGAGCAGGTAGGGCATTTGCCCTACATGCGGCCAACCCAGGTTCGATCCGTGGCATATGATCCCCCGAGCACTACCAGGAGTGATTTCTGAGTGCAGAGCCAGGAGTAACCCCTGAGCATCATTGGGTGTGACTCAGAAAGCCAAAAAAATAGGTTTGCTGTGGGAATTAAATGAGTTTTTCACATGCTGAGGTATGCAGACAACACCAGGCACATTATAAACCCTGCAACGGTATCTTTTGGCACTGGTACTTTGATGACTCGATGTTAACATGGGAGGAACTGAGCAGAGAGCTATGTCTTCTATGCTAAAGGGACTTACTATGATGTGGGAAAGATAATTCACCCGCTCCTGCTTACTAAAGAAGTCAGGGGCTATTGGCTGTTTATTTTGGGGGTCCCATGGGGATCACATAAGAAACAGTGCTGGTTCTCTGTGATGCCATAGTAGCTGTTCACCAAGGAATGACTGGATATTGAAAAGTCTCGAAGCTTCCAAGAAACAAACGGGAGCTCATTTGGCCCCTGGAAGATCACTGTGAGTTGAATTGCAAGGTGAGGCAGAGAACAGACCTTCTGAGAGACTGGAACATGCCCCGGCCGAATAGAGAGGCAGCAGCAGCTTTTCTCACGGCCAGAGCATCTAGAAATGGAATGAGCGAGGCTGCCAGTGCTTTCCGAGCGCCCATATTCCCATGGCTCACCTGATAATGCTTGGGAGTCAGGGATTGAAACACCAATTCGGACTCTGTGAATCTGGGTGTAGCCTGAGAACCTGCATTTCAAACAGGTTCCTAGGTGATGGTGACACTACTTCCTGGAACCCATTTGTGATTTGTGTAACCCTCCTGGGATTCAAAACCCTGGACCTCACAACTCAGAAGGGAAACATTGCTAGGCTCCTGGGAACGATGGTGAGGGATCCAACACTTTGGTTCTTGGCCAATCTTATTAACCTGTCAGAATTTCAATGCCTACCTCCACGCCAAAATAACAAACACACACACACACACACACAAAACAGATAAGTGAGGGATGCGGAGTTTTGTGCAAGATGCTAGCAGCTTTTGCTTTCTTTTGATATTTGTGAGGATCAACGTGTCCCTTTGTCCACACACTGATGTAGCCTGGAAAGTCACAGTCCATCTTGAGCAAGATTCTGCAGGGACAGCATGTTCTAAAGTGAAGGGCTGTGAAGGAACTAAGATAAAAAGGGGATACTTTAAATAGTTTCTCTCACTTCTAGAAGGTCAGCGTCGCATGTGTATTTCATGAGAGTATGAAATGCTCCAAACCCCATTCCATCCTTATCAGGCAGCCAATCAATCAGCAATATTTATTGCCAGTTCTCTGCGGAACATGATTCTTTTCCCAACAAATGCCTCTGCTTGCCTCCTGCTGTTTGAGATTCTGGTATGTTCACAGCAAACCCTAAGGAGGCAGGGTCAGAAGAAAGCCAGACTTGAGTCCAAGGCCAGCTCCACCTCTAACTAACTTTAGGGAATTCTTGAAGCTTTCTGGGCCTCAGTTTCCCCCCTGTAAAAAGGCAATGATTAGAATTGGA